ATATTTTGTTAATATATAATGATCTTGTCACTTACAATCTTTCAGATTTAAAGTCTATTTTGTCTGATATTAATATGGGCACCATAGCTCTGTTCTGGTTAATATTTGCATAAAAGAGCTTTTTCCATTCTTTGACTTTTAACATATTTGCATCTTTGGATCTACTATGACTCACTTGTAGACAGCATTTGGTTGGATTATTTATTTATTTATTTATTTACTTACTTACTTATTATTTATTTATTTATGATAGTCACAGAGAGAGAGAGAGAGAGGCAGAGACACAGGCAGAGGGAGAAGCAGGCTCCATGCACTGGGAGCCCGACGTGGGATTAGATCCCGGGTCTCCAGGATTGCGCCCTGGGCCAAAGGCAGGCGCTAAAGCGCTGTGCCACCCAGGGATCTCTGGTTGGATGTTTTTTAAATCCATTCTTCCAATCTCCTTTATTGGAGAATTTAATCCATTTACATTAAAAGTAATTACTAGAAATGAGGAATTTTTGCCTTTTTGCCCTTGACTTTCTATATGCCTTACAGATTTTTTTTATCCCTCATTTCCTCCATTGATGCCTGAGGAAGTCCAAGTGACACCTAAAGTGAATGTTGCAAGGTGGGCAGTAGTCCTTCTGGCAGATCAGCTTGGTAATAAGGGGTAAAAGGAAGACATTCTAGGCTGAAGGCACAGGATGCCAAAGGGAATATTTTTTGTTCAAAGAGGCATGCGAGGACCTGTGTGGCTGTCAAAAGAAACCTTAATCTTCTGGGACACAATATTGTCATGGGGCAGTTGTATGGTCCTTTATTGGGTGTTCAAACCTACCTATGTTCTTGAGATGTGTGACTCTGGGAAACTTGCTAGAGTTGAATCCTAGGTTGCTGACAATACCATAGAGATGATTGTGACATTCACCTCATAGTCAGTGGGAGGATTAATAAAAGTAAGAAAAACCAAGCAATTCACCTCTGGTAGGCACCCCATTGTTTGCTTTATGAATATTTTGTCAGTTCTCACAACCACCTGGTAAAACAGGAATTAATTTTAATGTAGAAATCAAGTCTTGACAAATGAAGAGACTTCCCCAAGCTTATATAAGCATACCCCATTTTCTTGCACTTTATAGTGATTTGCATGTTCTACAAGCCAATGAAGGTGTTTTTTTTTCAAAGATTTTATTTATTCATTGGAGAGAGAGAGAGAGAGAGAGAGAGAGAGAGAGAGAGAGAGGCAGAGACACAGGCAGAGGGAGAAGCAGGCTCCATGCAGGGAGCCCGATGCGGGACTCGATCCCGGGACTCCAGGATCATGCCCTGGGCCAAAGGCAGGTGCTAAACCACTGAGCCACCCAGGGATCCCCCCAGTGAAGGTTTATGGCAATCTTGCATTTCACAATACTAATTTTTTTTCTTTATTAAGCTTAGTCAGGAAGGCATTCAGAAGCAAAATAGTTTTAAAGCTAGGCCTCTTGTATCAAACAGCCAAGTTGTGAAGGCAAAGGAAAAATCCTTGAAGAAAATTAAAAGTGCTACTCCAATAAACACACAAATGTGTGAACGTCAACCACAACATTCCCATAAACCACAGAGAGGCTCTAACTCTTTCATTTTAGGTAGGCTGAGAGGTGAGGAAGCTGCAGAAGAAAAGCTGAAAACTAGCAGAGGGTTATTCATGCAGCCTAAGAAGCCATCTCTATAACATAAAAGTACAGGGTAAAAAGCAGTAAGTGCTGATGTAGAAGCTAAAGCAAGTTATCCAAAAGATCTAGCTAAAATAATTAATGAAGATGGCTACCCTAAACAACATTTTCAATGTAGATTAAATACCTTCCATTGGAAAAATATGTCATCTAGGACTTTCATAACTAGAGAGAAGCTTCAAAATACAAGATGACTCTTATTAGGGGTGAATGCAGCTCATAAGTTTAACCAGTGTCCATTTACCATTCTAAAAATCCCAGCACTGTTAAGAATTATGTTAAATCTGCTCTGCTTGTGTTCTATAAATGAAAAAACAAAGGCTGGATGATTGCCTTTGTAAACCATTTGTTAACAACATGGTCTACTGAATATTTTAGGCCCACTGTTAGGACCTACTCCTCAGAAAAAAAAAGATTATTTTCAAAATATTGACAATGCACCTGGTTACCCAAGAGCTCTGATGGAAGTGTACAATGAGATTAATGTTTTCATGACTGCTAACACAACATCCATTCTGCAACCCATGAATCAAGAAGTAATTTTGACTTTCAAAATGTTTTTAAGGATTTTATTTATTTGAGAGTGAGAAAGGAGTATGAGCTGGGGGAGGGGCAAGGAGGGGCAGAGAGGGAAAGAATCCTCAAGTAGACTCCAGCCAAGCAGAGAGCCCAACACAGGGCTCTATCCCAGGACCCTGAGATCGTGACCTGAACTGAAGGCAGACACTTAAATGACTGAGCCACCTGGGCACCCTTCAAGTCTTACTATTTAAGAAATACATTTTGTAAGGCTATATAGCTGCCATAGATAGTGATTCCTCTGATAGATCTGGGCAAATTAAATAGAAAATCTTCTGGAAAGAATCCACTCTTCTAGATGCCATTCATGATTCATAATTCATGGAAAGAGGTCAATATCAACATGAACAGGAGTTGGAAGAAGTTGATTCCAATCCTCATAGAGGACTTTGAGGGATTCAAGACTTCAGTAACTGCAATGCAGTGGAAATAGCAAGATAACTAGAATTAGAAGTGGAGGCTGAGGATGTGGGGATGGCTGCAATCTCGTGAAAAAAAAAAGGGCTGAGGAGTTGCTTCCAATGGATGAGCAAAGATGATTTCTTAAAACAGAGTCTACTCCTGGTGAAGATGGTGAAGGTTGTTGAAATGATAGGAAAGGATTTAGAATATTACATAACTTAGTTGATAAAGCAGCAACAAAGTTTGACTCCAGTTTTATTTTTATTATTTTTTTTTACTTCAGTTTTAAAAGAAGTTCTACTATGGGTAGAATGCTATCAAACAGCATTTCATGATACAGAGAAGTCGTTCTTGAAAGGAAAAGTCAATTGATGCGGCAAACTTCATTGCTATCTTAAGAAATTGCCACCACCACCTCAACCTTCAGCAACTGCGACCCTGATCAGTCGGTAGCCATCAACATCAAAAGACATCCTCCACCAGCAAAAAGATTACAACTTGCTGAAGCTCAGATACTGTTCAGCACTTTTAGCAAAAAGGTATTTTTTCAATTAAAGTATGTACTTTTTAAAAAAATATGCTATTACATACTTAATAGGCTGTAGTATAAACATAACTTTTACATGTACTGGGAAACCAAAACATTCATTGGACTCACTTCATTGCAATACTTGCTTTATTGAAGTTCTATCACCAAACCTGCAATATCTCTGAAGTATAACCATAGAAGGCAATTGCTAGCTTCAGGGGGTGATTCAACCCCAGGAATTTGGGTGCAGAACTGGAAACATTGAATTGCTTTTGAATGCTGCATATAAACCCCTTGGCTTACAGTGCAGGTTACATTATACAATTTAGGTGCACATACAACCATGAGGCTCCGTTGCTGCTGCTAACTATATTGCTTAGAATTCTTTTCCTACCTACCTTTAATGCCAGAACTCTTACTTTCTTTGCCTCTCAAGTCACCCAGTCTTGTCATTCAATGGCTTCTTCATCAGCGATTTCTGCCCCCTTACCACAACTGCTTAAAGTCCTATTTAAAGTGACTGACTCCCCTTTGGCACCCAGCACAGAACTAGTCTCCCAGGAAGTGCTCAGTGGTAAGTGCCTTGGTTCTCTCAGGATCTGTACCAGTGACTGTACAATAGGCTCTAATCACCTAACAAAATGAATGAAGCTGCTCTAACTTTCCAGGCATCAGTGACATTCAATAACATGGTCATAACTTGACAGTGAGAGGAGCTGCATTCAGCCTAGAGGACCTTGTACTGAGAGGTGATACTGAAGGCTGTTAGGCTTCTGAATTCACTGGATAAAGCCTGATCTCTCCTCCATAGAAGGACCTGATGCCTCCTTCATTCTGCCTTTTCTCCAAAACTCATCTTTAGAGCACCTTCCGGTAGCCCAGGTGAGTTGTCTCACCTCCTATCTGCTACTCTTTGTGTCTCCTTGGAGTATTTGGGGTAGGTAAATGTAGTTCTCCTGAAAATGGCTCAAATACCAAAGGAGAATTTTTCAGAAGGAAACAGGAGTGTCTTGTAAGAACCTCCAAAAAGTGATAGAGTAAGTAGGTAAGAGCGACAAGCAATTAGGAAGACCCACTAGATTGACAGATTAGAAAGATGAAGCAGCCACGTGAAGATAATGATGATGAAATTAACAGGTAATATTCACTGATGCTTTTGAAGTACCAGGCACTGTAAACATTTTATACCAAATAAGTTATTTATCTTCATTATAATCCTCTGAGGTGTTACCATCACCATTTATAGATGGTGAAGTAATTTGTCCAGTCATATAAAGACAGTATACTTGCAACTTGGATTTATATCCAGGTAACACTTATGGGCATATACGTCACACACACTCTTTTGAGCTCTCAAATGGTAGGGTGTCTTATTTATCTGGCTCACAGTAGATGCTCAAGAAATGGTTAGCAGACATGACGAGTACGATTCTCCATCAGTGACACTGTAACATCATGATTTTAGCCCAATCTTCCCTTTTTTTTTTTTTAGCCCAATCTTCCAACAGGATAATATACTCTTCTTTAAGTCCTTCACTATATTCAACTCTTGCTTTCTTTCCCTAGTTTAGTATCATTGCGAAGGCACTTTAAATCAAAAATTTTTAAATGTTATGTGTATTCATGTTTCTTAATCGCCAAAGTATGAATATTTGGGTGAATCCTCTCAAAATAACAAGATAACATAAAACTGTGTAGTGAAAGCAAATAAAATCTAGGGATTAAAGTACTACTTCATCTTTGTAGTATCAGTGCTTGGGAGAGCAGAGAAAGCAGAGAATGGGAGAAACAGAAAGTTTGCCATTATCCTACCACTGTATATATATAGTGGCCAGTCTATTCATGACAATGGTTCTTAATTGTTTTTTTAAAAAGATTTTATTTATTTATTCATGAGAGACACAGAAAGAGAGGCAGAGACACAGGCAGAGGGAGGAGAAGCAGGCTCCATGCAAGGAGCCCGATGCAGGACTCAATCCCAGGAATCCAGAATCACATCCTGGGCCAAAGGCAGATGCTCAACCGCTAAGCCACCCAGGCATCCCCGGTTCTTAATTGATACCATGCCATGCTTCCTTGTCTCTCAAAGATCCTTCAACATTCTGCAGAATTTCCAAATCTTATGGTAAATCCCTTTTTAAAAATTCACCATCCCATTCCAAACTCACCTTGCTAAGGAATGTCCTTTACCTCCTGGTTTTCAGTTAAGGTAGCTCATGTATGAGAACAGACTATTTCCTCTAAAGTTGGAAACCCTATCATTCATTCCACATCAGAATTATGTCAGTGATATAATTCCTTTTGAAGATAATTTACTTACAACATCAAATGCCAGAAAACATAACCTGAAATATAAGCTATGTAAGTGCCCTTTACTTCCAAGTGTCCATCCAGACAGTTCTAATCGTTATGTTTCACTTTCCTAGTCACAGATAGGAAACCATGGAGCCAGCAAGATTATTCAATTTATCTAAAACTTAAGACTATTTGAAGCCAGCTTCTTTACAAACCATAATTATCTGTCAGGGTTTGGTATAGAAAATAAAAGGTCTTAAGTATTTCAAAAAGACATCTATTACAAGTAACTATTTTTAAAATTGGTAGGCACGCTGGAGGAAAAATCATAATAATCACTGGACTATTTATTTCAATGTAAACTCTCTTAACTATAATCCAGCATGGAGAGGTAACTGTTGCTGTTATCAGTAATGATGCCAGCGGTAATAGGTCAAAGCCACAAAACTTGACACTAGACACTAGATCATGGAGTCCAGATGCAGCAAACGTGACAGAGCAAGCTGTCTACTTTGCCTAGAATGACTCCCAGAGTGCATGTGCCTGCACAGAGCTATGCAATTAGTACTCACCCTTTAGGATTCAGATTGCAAAGCACATCCACCATTAAGCCTGCTCTGATCTCTTATAGTCTTTTCCTTGATTACGTTCTCACTGCACTTGTAAAAATTAAAATGTGTGAAACAGACACCAAAATAATGGTATTCTTAGAACACAGATCAGGCCATTTTTCTCTACCTTAGCTAGTCTCCCACTAAAGGATATAGTAAAGCTTAATTCTTTTTTTTTTAAGATTTTATTTATTTATTTTTCATGAGAGACACAGAGAGACAGAGAGGCAGAGACACAGGGAGAGGGAGAAGCAGGCTCCCTGCGGGGACCTGATGCAGGACTTGATCCCAGGACCCCGGGATCATGACCTGAGCCAAAGGCAGACACTCAACCACTGAGCCACCCAGGTGCCCCAGTAAGGCTTAATTCTTCAAGAGGAAAGTAGGAAATTTTGCAAGAAGTATCAGTGTCACAGTGAGAGTGTATTATATACAAATTGGTTTTATTAGAGATCAAAAACTTTATTCACACCACCTTTTACTTCTTTTGCAGCTTTAATTTTTAACTTTAAAAACATTTTCTGGATCCACTGGTTGACTAAATATCTTTACATGCCCATTAGCTAACAAAACTTCTATGTAGGACTTGAGTAAAATTGCATGCTTACTGCTATCAGAAAGGCATATTCATTTATAATCTACTCATTTGTTCTTACAAACAGCATTATTGCAAAGAAAGATATACACATAACTCCTACATCCTTCATGCCGTTCTAGCATTAATCTTCTGATGTCTAGCAAGATAAGAACTCTTAGTGAATGGTTTGCTACATTTCTCCTAGCGCTCTCTCCAGTGTAAGATGATATAGAATAAGGGATACACTTTAACTGAGACTTCCCACAGTTTTTATATTCGTTTTCCTTCTCTCCTGTGTGTATTCAAGAAGAGATGCATATTGCCTGTCTTTCCCATGTTACACATATTGGGTTTTTCTCCAACGTGAACTAACTTATGCCAATTAAGGGATTAATATGGGCTAAAGACTTTCCTATGAAGGCAACAAATGTTCTCCCTACAGTATGAACTGTGATGGACAGTAAGGCTTGTACCACTGGCTAAAGACCTTCCCATATTCATTACATTCTTTTTTCAAGCATAAATTTTCAGGAAAGATCTATGCCTGAAGTGTATTATGACAAATATTGTATTCATACAGTTTCTCTCTTGTATGATTTTTCACATGTATAATGATTCACGCGGCCTAGAGGCTTTTCTACACTTAGTGCACTACTGGGTTTACCTCCATTATGTATTCTCTGATGGGCAGTAAGATTTGAGCCTTTGCTAAAAGCTTTCCCACATTCGTTACATTTATATGGCTTTTCTCCAGTATGAATTCTCTGATGTACAGTAAGATTTGAACTACAGCTGAAAGTCTTCCCACATTTAATACATTCATAGGGCTTCTCTCCAGTGTGAATTCTGTGATGTTGAAGCAAGGATGACCTATGACTGAAGGCTTTCCCACAAATGCTGCATTCATACGGTTTCAATCGAGAGTGATTCCTTAAATGCATATTCAGGGATTCTGGCTGGTTGAAGGATTTCCTGCATTTTTGACATTCGAAAGGTTTTTCTTCATTATGAATACTCTGATGCTGAATAAGAAATGATAAGCTGCTAAAGACTTTGAGACATTTGTTACATTCAAATTGTTTCTCTATAGTGTGAATTCTTTGATGTCGAGTAAGGTGTGAACTACAGCAAAAGGCTTTTCCACATTCACTACATTCATAAGGTTTCTCTCCAGTATGAATTTTCTGATGGTGAATGAGAGATGACCTATGAATGAAGGCTTTCTCACATATTCGACACTCATACAGTTTTTCTTGTGTATGAATTCTCAGATGTTCAATGAGATGTGAAACACGACTAAATGACTTTCCACAGTTCATACATTCATATGGTTTCTCTCCAGTGTGAGTACTCTGATGATTAGTAAGTGAGGACACATGGCTAAAGGCCTTCCCACATTCGATACATTTGTAAGGTTTCTCTCCACTGTGACTTATCTGATGTCGAGTTAGGGATGAGCCATGGCTAAAAGTCTTCCCACATTCATGACACTCATATGGTTTCTCTCCTGTATGAATTCTCCAATGGCGATTAAGGATTGATTGTTTGCCAAAGGCTTTCCCACATTCGTTGCATGTATAGACTTTTTCTCTATTATAAGTCTCCTCAAGGGTAAGAGATTTGCTCTGGCTGAAAGCTGCCATACTTTCTTTAGAATTCAAAAGTTTCTTTTCACCACCATTGATCTCCTCATTTTTTGTAACAGATCTTTTTGGTAAGCTCTTCTTAAATATATCATGTTTATGTGATTTCCCTTCAGCAGAAATTCTCTGTGGTTCAGAAAGAATAGACTTTAAATGGAAGATGCTTCTAAGTGCATCGTATTTGTAAACACTTTCCCCAGTGGCACTTCCTCTAAAGGTGAGGGTCACTGGTCTGAAATGTTCTACCTGATTTTCATGCGTCCCATCTATATATTCCCAGTCGCTGTTAAAATCTGAAAATTCATGACTCTGTTTTATAGCTTTTTCTATTTTTACCATTTGGGGTGAATCTTCATCATAAATATCCTCCTTCGTTAGTAATTTCTTGTTTTCCCATCTTGATTCCCAATCTGAAATATATCAAGAAAGCAAAACACTGCTTTTTCTGTACTTCTTGAAAAGAAACTTCTGTGGTAAGAAAAAGAGACTTAAAAAAAAATAGAGCACATCTCCACCCCCAAAAAGTACATGACTGACAATTCTCATATATTCAATAATTTCTGAACAAAGTTCAAATGGAGCAGAGAATAGAGACAGCTCACAAAGATGGGAACAGAGTGTAATAAGGGAAATGAGTTAAATACAGGCAATCAATATGTGGAATAAAAATGATACTATCAGAAAAACACCACACAGGTATTCTGGATTCCAACCCAACATTCTATTCTGTACCTACATTTATGTAAAAGACCACATTTTGTCTCACAGCCTTGGTTCTCCAACCTTCAATTAATCTCAATGTGCTGTCAGATTAGCACGCTTAAAATGCACAATTTATACAGTAGTAAGTACATCAAAAAGTTAACAATGAACACAATATTCTTTATCACCTCAGAAAGATTTATTAGGCTTTGTGTAGGGTCTGTGTAAAATCATATTATGTACTGGACACTAGGAAAGATTGTTCCTAGAAATCTTTTTATACATTCTTTACTTCCTCTAACACTTATGTTCACATGTGATCTCTGAAGCTCAGTTTTAGGGGAAAAGTAATTTCCCTTCTTTTTTTTTTTTAAATAATTTTTTTAATTTTTATTTATTTATGATAGTCACAGAGAGAGAGAGAGAGGCGCAGAGACATAGGCAGAGGGAGAAGCAGGCTCCATGCACCGGGAGCCCGATGTGGGATTCGATCCTGGGTCTCCAGGATCGCGCCCTGGGCCAAAGGCAGGCGCCAAACCGCTGCGCCACCCAGGGATCCCCAGTAATTTCCCTTCTGACAGCCTTTCTTCACCTAAAATCATTGGTATATTTTTCCCTAGGTGGTCTTAAAAAGAACAACTTTCTTTATTTTGTTTCAAATAAAATAACAATTTGAATTATTATGATGGCAAAAACCTTCACTTCTGATCAGATAACATAATAAATAAAGATAATAATTTGGGATGGAAGAATGGCTGTTTTAAAATCTAAGTGAGGATCCCTCACTTTGTGACATTGGGATCTCTGAAGACAGTATCCCTAAAATACCCTAAAATACCTCCATACTTTCTACAAGGATGTTTAACAAAGACCTCTCTTGCCTGATTCTCCATGACTTATCTGGAAACATACCTTTTGATGTTTTTTTCTCCACCATCCAAGGTTCTTTCCCATCCTCCAGTAAACTGATCAAATATGGCTTAGGTATGGAAGGACCTGCTTACAGGAAAAATATAGAACCTGTTTAAACTGTGGTCCTCATGGAGGAGAGGCCACCATCATAAAAGGAACCAAAGGCAGTTTTGAAGGATGGTCACTGAAATGGGAAGACGAGCTTCAGGGAGGGCACAAAAGAACTCTACACATCCTTGGGAACATGAAATAAAATTTCAGCCATTTACTCAAGAGAATTTCTAGTAATTCTGAGTAACAGAAGATTTCCCTCATTGGGGTGAAGAGGGAGATACGCTTACCTACAGAAACCAGGTTCTCATAATTCTGGACCATCACATCCTTGTATAAATCCCTCTGAGCAGAATCTAGCCATCCCCACTCTTCATGAGAGAAGTCCATGGCCACATCACTAAATGTCACCTGAAATAGCAAACATATTTAGGCTCAATCACAGCCAAGGCCACTTCTGTCACTGGTTAAGGGATAAAATTACCCTGGCTATAGAAGAAAGGGAATAAGATTCAGCAGTTGTGGCAATGATCAGGAATCTGATCTAAGGGATCCCTGGGTGGTGCAGCGGTTTGGCACCTGCCTTTGGCCCAGGGCACGATCCTAGAGACCCGGGATCGAATCCCACGTCGGGCTCCCGGTGCATGGAGCCTGCTTCTCCCTCTGCCTATGTCTCTGCCTCTCTCTCTCTCTCTCTCTCTCTCTCTGTGTGTGTGTGACTATCATAAATAAATAAAAATTTTAAAAATCTGATCTAAATGAAGTAGTAACTGGATGATTAGATGTTTGGCATTGTTTTACAATAACAGTAAAAGACAAATACAAGCACTTTGCTTCAGGAGAGTTAATTCTGTCAAAGGAAGAATTCTAAAATTTTTAAAAAGCAGCATTCAACATTTGACAGTATATAGCCAAGTGCTTATTTGTGTTTTTTATAGTTTACATGATGAGTAAATAAAAAATGATGATCCACTAAGGCTCAAAAAATGATCCAATAAATTCAGAAAAGATACTTTTAAATACAGACACGTATAGAACTTATATTTATTTTTAAGATTTTATTTGAGACAGAGAGTGAGAGGGAGAGCACAAGCCAGGGTGGCAGAGGGAAAGGGAGAAGCAGGCCCCCCCAGTGAGCAGGGAGCCCATCACAAGGCATGATCCTAGGAGCCCGGGATCATGACCTGAGCAGAAGGCAGACACAACTGACCAAGCCACCAGGTCCTACATACACAACTAATTAATAAACAAAAACCATTTATGGAATATAATTAAACCTTGTATTGATAATCTATAATTAAAATAATTTGAGACTCCTGGGCAAGATGACTAAAATAGTTTCATGCCATAGGCAGTCCCTGAATTGGACCTTAAAGTAGGGCAAAGAACTAGAGGACACATTTCAAGAAAAATATTCTAAGGCAATAGTACCAACTCATGATATTTAAAATAGCAAAACTTTAGAAAAAGCTTAAACGTACAGTAATAGTTTGTTAGTCGAATTATAATATATACAAAAAACGTAGGCATTTAAATGGCATTATTATTATCTTTCATTGGTGAAACAGACATTGGCTGTGATAAATTTTTCTTTTTTTTTTTTTGTGATTTTCATTCCAAGAGTGATTGATTCAATATTCTATTACTTTATTTGGATATTTTGCATGTATGTTCATTCCAAGATCCAAATTTTTCATTCCAAGAGTGGTTGATTCAATATTCTATTACTTTATTTGGATATTTTGCATGTATGTTCATTAGCGATATTGGTTTTTGGTTTTAAAGAGGGAATTTAGGGCACCTGGGTGGCTCAGTGGTTGAATGTCTGCCTTGGGCTCAGGTCGTGATCCTGGGGTCCTGGGATCAAGTTCCGCATCAGGTTCCCTACAGGAAGCCTGCTTCTCCCTCCACGTATGTCTCTTCCTATGTGTGTCTCTCATGAATAAATAAATAAAATCTTTAAAAAAAATAAATACATAAAAAGGGAATTTACCTTTGTCAGGTGTTGGGAAACTATTAAGAATCTGCCAAGCAGAAAATCCTCTCCACAATGTCAAAAAGAGAACAGTTTTGCTACTGAATAAGCATTACAGTGGATTGTAACACACTTCATAGGCAATCACTAATGAGAATGCAAGGACAGAAAGAAATCCCACCCTTATAAAACCAGGCAGGTATAATCCACTACATAGACGTTTTCAAAATAAATAATAACTTGTCTTCAAGTAGACGGACTAGGCATCATCATTTGCTAATACATTTAATCCTAAATTTGGTAATTGGAGTGGCCAGTAGTGTTAATTGCTTTTGCCCCAAGAAAAATAAAACTTCTCCCATCTGTATGACAAATGGGTAGTTAGAACTTGGAAGCCAGGAGCCTAGGCTAAGCTCCCACACAGACAGGGAGATAGAGGTGCAGCGTCCTTCAAGTTTTCATTTCAAAGAGATGGCTCCAAGGCCTTAAGAAAAACTTTACTGCCCTGAAAAATTGGCAGAGCCTTATTTAGCTTTGAAAAAGATTCACAAGTATCTCAAAGGGACAGAGAACATGTTTACAGTTACAAGTTTCCCTCAAAGGAAATATTCTAATAAAAGGGGGGGGTGTTTCTTCCCTTTCAGCATCAGGGAAAATTCCTTTTTCCATTTGTATTTACTCTTACCCAGGTATTAAGGTTATGCTAGCCTTATATGAATTTCAAAGTTTCCCATCTTTTCCTACTTTCCGCAATGGTTTCAAATGATTGGTTCTTACAAATCCCACTTTGATAAATCAAATTTAAAAATCAATACTAAGAGGTGCCTGGGTGGCTCAGTCGGCTAAGCATCCAACTCTTTTATATATATATATATAATAAATTTTTTTTTATTGGTGTTCAATTTGTCAACATACAGAATAACACCCAGTGCTCATCCCGTCAAGTGCCCCCCTCAGTGCCTGTCACATTCACCCCCACCCCCCGCCCTCCTTCTGTTCCACCACCCCTAGTTCATTTCTTGACTTCAGCTCAGGTCATGATCTCAGGTTGGTGAGATCGAGCCCCACACACATCAGGCTGCACACTCAGTGGGGAGTCTGCTTGGGATTTGCTCTTGCCTTCTCCCTCTGCCCCTCCCCTCCGGTGCATGCATACTCTCTCTAAAATAAATAAATAAATATTTTTTTTAAAAAATCAGTATTAAGTTAATGCATGACACTATATTTTACTCCACCAATGCAAAGAGATTTCATATTTTCAGTTTTGAACACATATTGATGAACATCATTGTATTTTAAGTCTAAAAAAGGAAACTCATGTAATCTGATTAATAGATACCCTTTGTTCTTTACTTAGATCAGGGCTTCTTAACCTTGGCACTACTGACATTTTAAGTTAGTTAATTCTTTGCTGTGGGAGCTGTCCCTGTGCCTTGTAGAATGTGTAGTTAGTAGCATTCCTAGCCTCTACCCATTAGACACTAGTAGCCAATTCCGCCCTCCCCCTGCCCAGGCTGTGACAACCAAAAATGTCTCCAGACATTATCAAATGTCCCCTATGGACAGGGCTAAGAGGGACAAAATCACCCCTGTTTGAGAACCACCCCTTTAGAAAACATTTGCAGTTCCCTAAAAGATTCTCTTTTTTTTCTTATTCTACCTATACCTAAGGTGTTCTCTGAGTTTAGTGTAACTTCACTTCTCTCTCTCCCTCCCTGGTTCCACGGGCCACCAAAACCAGTTCCAGCCTTGCTTCCCCAGGGATGTGTCAACTCGTTCTTCCCCTTCAATGCGTGGGCAACCTGGGATGTTCATTCATCTTTGTCCCCAGAAGAATTTAGGATATTTGCCCCAGAACTTATCTTAATTTCTTATGCTTTCTTACTTTTCTACCAGCCCTGTACTGCTCAATAAAGTCACTCAGTAGCCACATTTGGCTATATAAGTTTAAATCAATAAAAATTTTAAAAGATTTAAAAATTCAGTTCCTGGGTCACTTTAGTCATGATTCAAGGGCTCAAATCATATGGAGCTGGTGGCTACCATACTGGACAGCACACATAAAGAACACCTCCACCACTGTAGAAAGATCTCTCAGTATTGCCCTACATCATAGGCAATATGAGTACACTCAAACCCATGTATGATTCTTCCTAACAGATACTTCAAAAGGGTGTACAAAATGAATCAAGGGCGTTTGGGTAGCTCAGTCAGTTAAGCATCCAACTCCTGATTTTGGCCCAGGTCATGATTTCAGAGTCCTGGGATGGAGACCTGCTCAGGCTCCACACTCAGTGAGGAGGCTCCTTGAGATTCTCTCTCTTCCTCTCCCTTCCTCTCCTTCTGCCCCTCACTGCCCCACTCTCACTCATGCTCTTTCTCTCTCTAAATTAAATAAATATATCTTTTAAAAAAAATGAATCAATGAATGATTTTGGGAACTAGTTCACTTCAGTTTTTACTTTAAAAAAAAAAGTAGTTTTTCAATTCTAGTTATGTAATATTCCCAGGAAACCAGACTCTGCCCAACATGCACATATGCCACTAGTGCCTTCTGTGCACGCTTCACCTTCCACCCCATGGTTCTACCCACCATTTTTTCAAAGCTTATTCGGTCAACAACTATTTACTAAGCATCTGTTTTGTACCAGATACCACTCTGGGTACTGAAAACAGTCAACAAAAAAGAAAAAAAAAATCCCTCCCAGAAGAAAGGCATGAACAATGACAACTCTGTTCACTAAACAAAGAGTGTATTACCTACTGAGTGATAATCACTGCCGAAAACAACAAAGTAGTGAGGAGGAGAAGGGATTGTTAGAAAAAGTTGACTGCAGGGAAGCTTTACTGAGAAAGTAACCACAGAGCAAAGATGTGAAGGAGGAAAGAATGCAAGCTTGTACCGATCTGGGGGAAGACTGTTCCAAGCAGAGGGTACAGCAATTTCCAAGGCCTGGAAGCAGTAGCCAGTGGCTAGAGCTCACAGGGAACAAGGGGACACGGAAGATGAGATCAGAGAGGTAAAATCCTAACTGCACAAAGCTTAAGTCACTGTAGAACTCTAACATCTGAGTTAGGGCAAAGGAAGAATTTTATTTTATTTATTTTTTTAAAGATTTTATTTATTTATTTATTTATTTATTTATTCATTCATTCATTCATTCATGAGAGACACAGAGAGAGACAGGGGCAGAGACACAAGCAGAGGGAGAAGCAGGCTCCATGCAGGGAGCCAATGTGGGACTCAATCCCGGGTCTCCAGGATCAGGCCCTGGGCTGAGAGCGGTGCTAAACCGCTGAGCCACCTGGGCTGCCCAAAGGAAGAATTTTAAGCTGAGGAACGACAGGACGGTGACAGTGGTGGTGGCTGTGACCGTGTAACCGTTGGTCGGATTCGGTGTATTTCCTGTCTGTTTGAGATCCAACTAGAGTGTCTGAATGTAAGTCATAAGAGAAAGAATCGAAGAGGACTCCAAACAGCTCGTGACTTGAACAACTGAAAGGATTGATCTACCACTAACTGAGACCACAAAATACCGCTGTGACAACCAGAAAGCAAATAACCTAAAATTCCAAACCTGAATTTTTGAATTGTAATAAAAACAAAAATTTTGCTCAAACTTGTACGGAGACTTGGAGCAGAAAAATGGTAGAAGATGGTAGAAGACAGGAGCAATGAGAAGAGACAGCACTTTGGAGCTCTTCTGGGGGCTGCATCCTTTGCTACAGTGAGACGAATCATCCATTCGGTCCCTAAACGGATAGGAACCGGCAAGAGACGCAAAGCAAACATTCCAGAGTCCTGCTAAGGTGTTTCGGGAAGATCGGGGGGGGGGGGGGGGCGACGACTTACCTGGAACATGACTTGTCAACACAGTCCTCCTTCCCAGGCTCTTGACTTAAAGAAGAGTAGTGTCCCGAGAAGGCAGATCAAGAACACACACAAAAAGGACCCATGAAAAGAACTGAGGCTTATCCTGCAGCGCTGGGACACATCTGCAAGGAGAAGCACACCGGGAATCACCTGCTAGGGCTGCATTCTCCCCCGGAACCAGCAGAGCGTTCCGCCGCACGTTCCCCAGGTGCCAGCGACACTCTTTTTTTTTTTTTGAGACAGACTCACAAAACGGCAGTAATAACGTTACGAGCGCGTCCGGTCTTCGCAACTACGCACGACAGACATTCACGTATGCCGCGTTCCTCTCCTAAACGGTGGGAACACACCCTCGGCGGTACTGGGCCAGTCTGTCCAAGGCTGCACCAATGCAAGAGCGTCGCGCTCGAGACTGGATCGCCCAAGAACCGCCGCGGACCGGGTTCTCTTTGGGTGCGCACGCTGCAAAGCCACACCCCTTTTACCGGGCGGACGGGCCCAGGGAGCCAAGGCCCTGCCGGGACCCACACTTGCCTCAGTGCCCGGCGGGCCCTCCCTGGCCCTGAAGCCCGGGCCCCGGGGATCCCGAGCCCGCCCCCCCCCCCCGCGTACTTGACACGCGGGGCCGCGGAGACAGAGGACCGCGGCCGCCGCCGTCGGGAGGACGGCGCTACCCGGGGGGAAATCCGCCGCCTGCCTCAGATTACCGCTAGGCGGACGGAGGTCGGAGCCCGCAGCGGAGCGACATTTCCCAGCTTCCTCCGCCTCGCCTCCGCGACGAGTTACCAGCGCCTCGCACGTCGCCGCGTAAAACCACACTTCCCAGAAGGCTGCGCGTTCGCGCGCGCGCTTTGGGCGCCGGGAGAGAACGGCGCATGCGCCTTCACGAGGACGCGCACACCGAGCGTCAAGAGGACGGCAGGGCCGGCCTCCGCTTGCTTCTTAGGTACAGGGGCGCCCAGGGCACGAAACTACACTTCCCAGAAAGTGATGCGGCCGCGAAAGACCTTCCGGGTCGCGGGTCAGCTGGCGCGTACGCCCTCCTGCGGGGCCGTGGACAGTCCCCCGGTGGGCGTGCTCCCGCCGGAGGTCTCCGTGCTGCGCCCTGGGCCGCTCCTCGGCAGCCCTTGGGGGCTTTGGGCGTTTGACGCCCGCCTGCCCGGGACTGTGGTCCCTAAAACGCCCTGTGTCCGGGCTGTCATGGCAACAGTTGTCGGCGGACAAACGACACTCCCTGGACATTCGTGCGGCCGCGTCACGGCTGTTGACTGCCGCCGTCTGGTGTACAGGTCTCAGCAGTGGCGGCCTCAGGTAAGTGCTTTAAGGGAAAAGGCCTTACCTGCTCCTGTAACCCGCGGGGCCTGCCCCACTTCGGTCCCCAGAAGCGCGTCCTCGCGCCCCTCCCCCAAGCCCCACCCAGACGCGCCCTGGACGTACTTGGACGGAGACCAAAGCGGCCTGCTGCGGGTGTATATTGGAGTTGTCTCCTTTACTTTTTTTTTTTTAATTAATTTTACATATAATTAATCATTTCATTTTAATTTTGCTTATTTTGGAATTATACTATGTGAATTTTCTTGTATATGTTAAGTACTTAGGTGCGTTAAGATGCATTAAACAGTGCTTCCACCTTGGCAGATCCCTCGCGGCCGTGGTATCGAACTCCTGGAGCAAGAGTCGTCTGCAAATGCAAAGCGTATTCCCATCCACGCCTTCATTGTGCAATGACAAATTGTTGTCGAAAATTGTGCCAATTTGCCCTCGTACCGTAGTTTATAGTTGTTGTTTTTTTAAGATTTTATTTATTTATTCATGATAGACATAGAGAGAGAAAGGCAGAGACACAGGCAGAGGGAGAAGCAGGCTCCATGCAGGGAGCCCGATGTGGGACTCGATCCTGAGACTCCGGGGTCACGCCCTGGGCTGAAGGCTCAACCGCTGAGCCACCCGGGATGCCGAGTTTATAGTTATTTTGGTTGCCAGTTATTACTGCCAGCACTTGATTTTGTGACATTTTCGAATTTTGCCAATCTGCTAAATGTGAAATTGTGGCTCAGTGTGGCTTAAATTTGCATTTCTTTTGTGGTTAAATAAGATTGAGACTCTTTCCATGTGTCTGTTGGCTTTGATAATTCCTTCCCTGAGAATTGCATATCTTTTGGTCACTGTTCTTTTAGAGCAAAGGCCTTTTTGATGTTAAAATGCAAGCTATAAGAAAAATGCAAGATTTTAAAGGAGTGTAGAGACTAGGACATTAGGGCAGCCCCGGTGGCTCAGCGGTTTAGCCTGCCTTCAGCCTAGGGCGTGACTCGGGAGTCTCGAGATCCATCGAGTCCCACGTGGGGCTCCCTGCATGGAGCCTGCTTCTCCCTCTGCCTATGTCTCTGCCTCTCTCTCCGTGTCTCTCATGAATAAATAAATAAAATCTTAAAAAAAGAGAGAGAGAAATAAAAAAAAAAAGAGAGAGAGAGAGACTAGGACATTAGAGTTTTTTCCCCCCGAGTTTTCTGGACTTTGGAACTGGACTCAGTATCCAAATGTGTTTTCTACAGTTTTTGTGTGTTTGGGGGTGTGAAATTCTGTTTTTCTCCTGCTGAGGATTTGTTGAGCAACTTGAATCTGTGAAGTGGTATCTTCCTTTGCTCAGCAAATTTTTCTTCCCTTTTATATATTGCCTCTTCCCCATTCTTTCTTTTTGTGAACGCCAGTTGGTAGGTCTTTCTAGTCTGTCGTTCATGGGCCTTATATCCTTGTCTATCATTTCCATCTTTCAGTGTCTATATTCCATTCTGGATATCTCTTCCACTCTGTTTCCTATTCATAATTCCCGTTCCAGGGAATTCTTTTCAGTTTCAGTTTTTAAAATACTTTTGGTGACATGGTAGACAAAATTGATTCATAATATGCAAGTGATAATACCAATAACAAGATTTTATAAATGTTCCTTGTAAAATTTTTTTTTAATTCTTCACACAATTTGCTTTGTTTCCTTTTTTGGCTGGTTATCTTTCTTTGTCTCGTTGTCCTTGAAAAGAGATGTTATGGGGCTTCGCAATATCCTTGTATGGAAGTACCTTTCTTTCCTAGAGATGACATAATTTCATTTTTGGACAAGTTCTGCGATTATTACCAGTCTGCAATCACTTTAAACTAAATTTAGTCATTAAGTCCCTGCTTGGTCCGGCCAGTAAACCTTACATAGGGATTCTTCGTTGTTGCTGCTTTTTCTCATAACCTTCCTGGGAGAATTACAAAGCTTTCCTGTTGAGTCCTCAGATGTTTGGTACATAAATTAAGTTCATGGTGGGGTCAGGGGAGTGGCTAACCTCAAAAGACTAGAAGAGGCATGCGGGTTCAAGTGAGAAGTTTAAGTTGAGGGCTAGTCTTGTTCCAATAGCTATTTATGGCTAGCTCTTTTTATTATTATTATTAAGATTTTATTTATTTATTTATGAGAGACACAGAGAGAGAGGCAGAGACATAGGCAGAGGGAGAAGGGAGTTCCACGTGAGGAGCCTGATGCGGGATTCAGTCCCTGGAGCCTGGGATCCAAAGGCAGATGCTCAACTGGTGAGCCACCAGGTACCTCTCTGGCCAGCTCTTTTTTTTTTTTAAGATTTTATCTATTAATTCATGAGAGACACACAGAGAGAGAGGCAGAGACACAGGCAGAGAGAGAAGCAGGCTCCATGCAGGGAGCTCAATATGGGACTCAATCCCGGGACCCCAGAACCATGCCCTGGGCCAAAGGCAGGCACCAAACTGCTGAGCCATCAGCAGGGATTCCCCCTATGGCCAGCTCTTAAAGAACATCACTTCAAAGCTGAACCCCTAATATATGAGCGCTGTAGATAGGATAGAGGCACTCTGATGAGTAGAGAATTAGAGGAGAAATCTAGGGGCAGGTGGAATGGGAATTCAGAGGCATAAATAAGCTGGTTTTAAATATGCCAGTCTCTTGAGAAAGAAAATAGAGGCAGAAGAGATCAGTAAGGAGACATGAAAATACTTTATGTGTCATACTGAACCCACTCCTTCGACTAGCCCTAAGCTGCCTTTACTTTTTCTATTAGGCAATATTTGTAGTAAATGGTTTTACTGTTGGAGTTTATCTGGCCAAGGGCACATTTTAGAATATGAACTTGGAAGAAAAGCCAGTTCATGTTGATTCTGAAACTGTTCCAAGTTTCAGGGCAAAAAAGTAAGTTTGGAACTGTAACTTCCAGAGACATCAGAAAATCATCTATTTTTGCTATAGGGAGAAATTCCTGCTAAGACCTCCTGGGGAGATCTTTGTCCTGTTACTGTTTCATTCTCTCTCCATCTATCACTTTATAATAAGCTTACACAGTCCATTATAGGCCAAAGTTTTAAATCCAGGCATCTAGTCCCAGTTCTCCTGTCACTGGTTTGAAGACCTGTCCGTTCCCAGTCTGGCCCAGGACTGACCTCAGAATGCCCATGTTCTCTTCTTCCATCCTTGAGGAACTCTGACATCCTACATCTGTGATTATTTATGTAACCAGTATGAAGTTCACACAAGACTAAAGGTGAACCCAGTGGGAAGTGTCAGGTATGCATACATTGTTTTGGTAGGTTGGCTGGGGTAACCTGAGTATAACTAAGGGCTGGTGTCAAGGGCCTCTTTTGTGACTATGATGGGGGGAGAATGCCCTTCTCACTTCTTTTCCTCCCTCTTTGATCATGGAGGAATCAGAATAAACCTTGCTTAACTTTCAAAAAAGATTTCATTTATTTTTTTAAGATTTTTTAAAAAAGATTTTATGTATTCATGAGTGACAGAGAGAAAGAGGCTGAGACACAGGCAGAGGGAGAAGCAGGCTCCATGCAGGGAGCCCGATGCGGGACTCCATTTCAGGACCTCAGGACTACACTCCAGGCGGAAGGCAGGCACCAACCCACTGAACCACCCAGGGATCCCTCAAATGAGTAGACTTTGAGTAGATTATCCTCCATAGTGGGGGTGGGCCTCTTCCAGTCAAAGATCTTAGGAGAAAGAGACTGAGAACCCCTCAGGAAGGAGTACTGCCTCCAGACGCCTTCAGATTCAAACTGCAACATCAACCCTTCCCTGAATTCTCTTCTACTGGCAAGAACTCAGACTTACCAGCCCCCACAATCATGTGAGCCAATCCCTTAAAGGGATATCTCTATTTATCTATCTAATGTATAGACATACACACACCCCTCTTACTGTTTTCTCTGGAGAACCCTAACAAATTCAACTGCCATCTCATTGAGCTTTTCTGTGGATTAGTCACCATGGCTACTGATAATCCCAACTACTATTCGATGGCTCTGGAACATCACTAGTAGAAAATGCTAGCCTTCTGTTAACATTAATCCATCTTTGTTTCTTAAATTCCACATATGAGTGAAATCATATGGTATTTATCTTTCTCTGTCTGACTTACTTTACATTAGCATTATATTCTCCACAACCAAATTGTTGCAAATGGCAAGATTTAGGTTTTTTTAATGCCTGAGTAATATTCCTTTGTATACCACATCTTCTTTATTTATCTACAGATGAACCTTTCATTTCTTCCATATCTTGGCTATTGTAGATAATGCTACAGTTAATATAGGGGTGCATATATCGTATTGAATAAGTGTTTTTGTTTCTTTTTTTTTTAAGATTTTATTTATTCATGAGACACACAAAGAAGCAGAGACATAGGCAGAGGAAGACCAGACTCCCTGTGGGTAGCCTGATCTGGGACTCGACCCCAGGACCTGGGGATCACAACTTTAGCCGAAGGCAGACACTGAACCACTGAGCCACCCAGGTGTCCCAGTGTTTTTGTTTTCTTTGGGTAAATAAGCAGTAGTCAAATTAGGGGATCATATGGTAATTATACTTTTAATTTTTTGAGTAACATCCATATGATTTTCCCCAGTGGCTATACCAGCTTGCCTTCCCACCAACAGAGGGTATGATTTCCTTTTTCTCTCCATCCTTGCCAACACTTGTCATTTCTTGGTGTTTTGATTTTAGACATTCTGACAAATGTGGAGCAATATCTCATTGTAGTTTTAATTTTTTTTTCTTTTTAAAGATTTTATCTATTTATTCATGACAGACACACAGAGAGAGAGAGAGAGAGAGAGGCAGAGACATGACACGGGACTCAATCCCGGGTCCTCAGGATCACACCCCGGGCCAAAGGCAGCGCTAAACCACTGGGACTACTGGGGCTGCCCTAATTTTCTTTTCCTTGAAGATTAGTCATGTTGAGCGTTCTTCCTGTGTATGTCTCCTTTGGGAAAATGTCTAGGTTCTCTACCCATTTCTTAATTGGATTATTTAGGCAGTTTTTTTGTTACTTTGAATGACATATTGGACTGGATGGACCTAAATATATTCAGAACATTCCATCCAAAAAACAGTGGAATATATGATTTTTACAAGTCACATGGAACATTCTCCAAAACAGATCACATGTTAGGCCACAAAATAAGTCTCAGTACATTCAAAAGGACTGAAATCATATCATACATCTTTTCTGACCACAAAAGTATGAAACTAGAAATCAACCACAAAAAATACCCCTGGAATTTTTGGTATGTACATGGAGGTTAAGTAACATGCTACTAAACAATGAATGAGTCAATCAAAAAATCAAAGAGGAAATTAAAAAATACATGGAGTATTTCTAGTTTGAACAATAGTCTTTTGGTTTCAGATTTTTTCCTTTCAGCACTTTGAATATATCATGCACTCTCTTCTGGCCTGCAACATTTCTGCTGAAAAACCAGCCAATAACTTCATGGGGTTTCCCTTTCTCTCCTTTTTTTTTTTTTTTTAAGATTTTATTTATTTATTCATAGAGACACGGAGAAAGAGAGGCAGAGACACAGGCAAAGGGAGAAGCAGGCTCCATGCAGGGAGCCTGAATCCCGGAACTCCAGGATCACACCCTGGGCCTAAGGCAAGCACTAAACCGCTGAGCCACCTAGGCGTCCCTCCAGGGTGTCTTCTGTGCATTGCCCACACTCTAATGTGGTTGAGCCACATTTGCCTTCAGTCCAGTCATCTGGAATGGCTCTCTTTGCTGTGGTAGGATTTGGTCCTGTGCTCTATGGGGCCAGTCTGGGGGCTGCCTTGGACTTGTAGTTTGGCCTGCTCTCAACCTGTCTGCCAGAACTAGAATCACATGGAACTATATGGTGCTGTCCCTGCATTGTACTCTGAGTGGGACCTGCAGTCAGACCCAGGGTCTGGCCCTAATCTGTCTGTTGAGGTTGCAGTGACCCCAAACTTCAGGGCTCTCTCTTTGTGATACCCCCTGTGAAGTTTTTGTTGGTGGACAGTGCTGGCAGTCACATCAGATGTTTGCCCTCAGCCTACTGCTAGGCTGCAATCGAATAGTATGTGGTTATCTTCTCTCCTCAGGGCAAGAGTCACTTTGGAGTGGTGCTGGCCACTGTCAGTGCTGCTTGGAGAATGAGATGGGTCAGGCATTACTTTGGAGGGACTCCTGCCCAGAGAAGCCCAGTAGAGTGGAATGGATGGACCAGATCCACAAGTGAAGGTAGGGGTATGGCACATGGTGTTAGCAGGGTATTAACAGGTCTGCTTGCAGGAGGAGACTTGACCAGAGTTACTTTGGAGGGACTCCTTGCAAGTGGTTAGATGGGGCGTGTTTGCAGGAGAGCAATGAGGGCATGGTGTTTTAGCAAGCAAGGTGGTGACTGTTCTCACTAGTTCTTACAGGTGTCTGGGGTATCTGCATCTAGGCTGGTGGCAAGGAGAAAAGTAGTGCCCACTAGGTCTTTTGTTGAATTCTCATAAAGATCCCTGCCCTTCCAGCGCATATTCTGAGATTAGTAAATAAATCTGTATTTTTTAAGTACCTGAAGGTAAGCACCACTGGTTGTAAAAACTTGCATTAAGCCCTACTGGTTTTCAAAGCCAAATCTTATATCCTCCTAGGGCAGGTCCCCCTGTCTGGGGTGCCTGGTGGAGGGTCTATTCCTTTCCCTTCTCCCTGTTTGTGGTGTTCCTCCTGTGATGGCATCTCTACCCTTCCTGTCTTTTGCAATGTAGCCTTCTCTCTACAATTAATCATAGAGCTTGTTATGCTAGTTTTCAGTTTGTTTTCTGGGTTACTCTTGTATGACTGTTATATAGGTATATCTGTGGGATGGGGTGAGCTTAGGATCCCCTTCCTCTGCCATCTTCCCAGGCTATTTCTATAAAGCATCTTTTAAAAGTGACTCCTAGGTCTTTATCTGTACTCCAACCTTGCCTCTCCCCAGAACCCTCAGTCCATATACCTGGCTTTTTATTTCCCTAGCCCATTTTAGTTGCTCATTCTCAACTCAAACTTCACATATTTCTTGAGGCCCACCCAGAGGTCTTGATTATCTCCTTATTCTACTGTCTTTCATGCTCTTAACATTTAATAAATGGAATCCCCACCCAGCTATTCGCTAAAGTTGAACATCCAGATTTTTAAATTCTTTTTCTTCTTTGTTCTTCTATTGTCCTCACTTATCCTCTCCACACATCCATTCTAGCAGACAGGGTTGTTTTCTGCCTCAAAGTGATAGGATATCAGCCTTCGTTTATTCATATCAAATTCTCACCTGAAACACTGCTGTGGCCGCTGAACTGGTCTCCATGCTTTCACTCTTGCATCCATACAGTCCACTCTATACACAAATCAGATGATTTTTAAACTACATAAATGGGATTTCATTTCACAATGCCTTTTAATGACTTCTGATCTCCCAAAGAATATAATCCAGACTCTGTGTTGGCTTCCAGACCTAATATGACTCTGCCTCCTTCCATTCTTGTCCTTGCTTACAAAGACACAAATGTGAACTCAATGGTCTGGCTTCTCTGCTTCTCTTAAGCCAAGTTTATGCCCCCTTCAAGCCTTTAAACATGCCTCCTTCCTGGAGTTTCATCCTCATGACTTCACTGTTGTTCTTTCTTGTCATCCAGATCCTTGCTCCATTGCCACCTTCTCAAACAGGTCTTTAGGTCTCAAGTAGCTCTTCCTTCATTTGTGATTTTATTTATTTGGGTTCTCTCCCATTTCTTTTTGATGAGTCTGGATAGGGGTTTATCAGTTTTATTAATTTTTTCAAAGAACCAGCTCTTGGTTTCATTGATCTATTCTACAGGGGTTTTTTATTTCAGTATCATTTATGTAAGCTCTAATTTTTATTATTTCCCTTTTTCTGCTGACGTTAGGCTTTACCTGCTGTTCTCTTAGCTCCTTTAGGTAAAGTTAGGTTATTTATTTGAGATTTTTCTTGCTTCTTGAGGTATGCCTTTGTTGCTATACACTTCCCTCTTAGGACTGCCTTTGCTGAATCCCAAAGGTTTTGGACGGTCATACTTTCATTTTCATTTGTTTCCATGTACTTTATAATTTCTTCTTTAATTTCTTGATTAATCCATTCATTATTTGGTCGGATTTTCCTTAACCTCCATATTTTTGTAGTCTTCCCAAGTTTTTTTTGTGGATGACTTCAAATTTCATAGTGTTGTGTTCTGAAAATATTCATAATCTGACCTTGTATTTGTTGAGGACTAATTTGTGACCTAGTATGTGATCTATTCTGGAGAATGTCCTATGTGCACTTGAAAACACTGTGTATTCTGCTGCTTTAGGATGAAATTTTCTGAGTTAATCTGTTATGTTCATCTGGTCCAGTGTGTCATTCAATGAAATTGTTTCCTTATTGATTTTATGCTTAGGTAATCTGTCTATTGCTGTAGCGGGGGTTTAAAGCCCCCTACTATTATCGTGTTATTTTTTTTAATTTTTTTTTAAATTTATGATAGTCACACACAGAGAGAGAGAGAGAGAGAGAGAGAGAGGCAGAGACACAGGCAGAGGGAGAAGCAGGCTCCATGCACCGGGAGCCCGACGTGGGACTCGATCCCGGGTCTCCAGGATCCCGCCCTGGGCCAAAGGCAGGTGCTAAACCGCTGCACCACCCAGGGATCCCCTATTATTGTGTTATTATCAATGAATTTATGTTTATTATTAATTCATATAGGATGCCTGGGTGGCTTAGTGGTTGTCTACCTTTGGCTCTGGTCTGGACCCGGTGATCCCCAGGTCCTGGGATCGAGTCCCACATCAGGCTCCCCACAGGGAGGCTGCTTCTCTCTCTGCCTATGTCTCTACCTCTCTGTGTGTCTCTCATGAATTAATAAATCTTTAAAAAAATCAATTCATGTATTTGGGTGCTTCTAAGTTGGAGGCATAAATATTTATAATTGTTAGATCTTCTTGATAGATAGAATCCTTAATCATGATATAATGCAGACTTTGGCTTAAAATCTAGTTTGTCTGATATAAGTATGGCTACTCCAGCTTTCTTTTGACATCCCTTGGCATGATAAATGGTTCTCCACCCCCTCAATTTCAATCTCCAGGTCTCTTTGGGTCTCAAATGAGTCTCTTGCAGGAAATATATATAGATGAATTTTATTTGTTTTTTATCCATTCTGATACTCTTTGTCTTTTGATTGGAGCATTTGGTCCATTTATATTCAGTGATTATTGAAATATATTAATTTACTGTCATTGTTACCTGTAAAGTTGGTGTTTCTGGTGATGTTCTCTGTTCCTCTCTAGTCTTTGTTGCTTTTGGTCTTCTTTCTTCCCCACTCACAGAGTCCCCTTTAATATTTCTTGCAAGGCTGGGTTAGTGGTCACAAACTCTTTTAGTTTTTACTTGTGTTGGTCTCTTTATCTCTCCTTCTTTTTTTAAAAAAATTTTTTAAAAAAATTTTTATTTATTTATGATAGTCACAGAGAGAGGGAGAGGCAGAGACACAGGCAGAGGGAGAAGCAGGCTCCATGCACCGGGAGCCTGACGTGGGATTCGATCCCGGGTCTCCAGGATTGCGCCCTGGGCCAAAGGCAGGCGCTAAACTGCTGCGCCACCTAGGGATCCCTTTATCTCTCCTTCTTTCTGAATGACAGTCTTGCTGGATAAAGTATTCTTAGCTGCATATTTTTCCCAGTTAGAACATTGAATATATGTTGCCATTCCCTTCTGACCTTCCAAGTCTCTGTGGCCAGGTCTGCTGCTAACCTTATGTGTCTACCCTTGTAGGTTAAGGATCTTTTGTCCTTAGGTGCTTTTAGAATTCTCACCTTGCATTTTGCAACTTCCACTATGATGTCCTGGTGTTGACCTGTTTTTGTTGATTTTGAGGGAAGTTCTCTATGCCTTTTGGACTTAATGTCTGTTTCCTTCTCTGAATTAGGGAAGTTCTCAGCCATAATTTGTTCAAATATACCTTCTGTCCCTTTTTCCCCCCTCTCTTCTTCTGGGACTCCTATAATATGAATATTACATATCTTTATAGAATTGCTGAATTCCCTAAGTAAATATTCATGATCTTTTTTTTTAAGATTTTATTTATTGATTTATGGGAGAGACAGAGAGAGATAGGCAGAGACACAGGCAAAGGGAGAAGCAGGCTCCATGCAGGGAGACCGATTATGAGACTTCATCCTGGGACTCCAGGATCATGCCTTGAGCCAAAGGCAGATGCTCAACTGCTGAGCCACCCAGGCTTCCCAATATTCATGATCTAATAGCTTTCTTTCCCTCTTCTTTTCAGCTTCATGATTTTCCATAATTTTATCTTCTGTATCACGTATTCATTTCTCTCCAGCTTGCACCCTTGTTGTGATTACCTCTAGTCAGGATTGGATCTCGGTTATAGTATTTTTAATTTTGGCTTGACTATATTTTATTATTTATTTATTTATTTATTTTGACTATATTTTAGTTCTCTTATCTCTGCAGCAAGGGTTTCATTGGAGTCTTCTATTTTTTTTTTCAAGCCCAGCTAGTATTCTTATGACTGTTATTCTGAATTTTTGTTCAGATATGTTACTTATATCTGTTTTAAGCAAATCCCTGGCTGTGGTTTCTTCTTGTTCTTTTTTGAGGGGAGAATTCCTCTGTCTTGGCATTTTGTCCAGATTAAAAAAAAAATATAGAGGGAAAATAAAAAATATATTTACAAATATTTTTTAAGATAAATTAAGAATTTAAGAAGAAAAATCATAATAAATTTTTAAAAGACTGAAAAGAAAGCTAGATCCTATTTCCCATAGAGCTGATGCTTATAGCACTCTCTGATCAGTAGATTTGGTGCTTGCAAGGGGTCTGTGTTGGTCTTCTGGGGGAGGGGCCTGCTTTACAGATTGTCAGGTGGGCTTGCCCTCCTAGAACTGCATCTGCAGGGGCTTGGTATAATTGGCTCCATTCTTCACTAGGGGGCGCTGTTTAGCTGCCATGGCGGGGGGCGGTAGGCATTGGCAGGGCTCTGCTCTTTTGTCCCTAGAGTGGAAAGCTTACAAGGCCACTCTTCAAGAAACCCCCACAAGGGATCCCTGGGTTGCGCAGCGGTTTGGCGCCTGCATTTGGCCCAGGGCGCGATCCTGGAGACCCGGGATCGAATCCCACGTCGGGCTCCCGGTGCATGGAGCCTGCTTCTCCCTCTGCCTGTGTCTCTGCCTCTCTCTCTCTGTGACTATCATAA